TTCATGTTGTCCCAAAGCTCCCTTAGGCTCTCCTCCTGTCTTTTAATTTTTTTCTCCAATTGCAGTACATTTTGGGTGTGTTTTGCTTCCTTGTCTTCTAATTCACTAATTTGGTCCTCCGCTTCTCCTAGTCTGCTGTTGATACTTTCAATGGAGTTTTTCATTGCAGCTATATCACTCTTCATTTCTTCTTGGGTCTTACTTAAGTTGTTGATTTTTTCATCTGTTTCTTCTAGCTTCTTCCATATGTTATCGATTTTTTCATCTGTTTCTTCTTGCTTCTTGCAGAGGTTGTCGATTTTTTCCTCCATCTTGTTTATGCACTCTAGGACCCTTATTCTGAATTCTTTTTCTGTCATGTTGCATGCCTCTGTATTACTTAGCTGCTTTTCTGAAGAGTCCTCCTTCTCTTTCCTTTGGGGGTTTCTTTGTCTACCCATGTTTGATCTCACTGACATATCTAGACGTTGAGTCGTTCAGTGGTTGCTCCCTTGGTGGCAGTGACTCCTTGGTCTGTGGTTGCTCTTCGGGCGGTTGTAGTAGCAGTTGCTCTTCAGTTGGCAGCAGCTCCTCTGGTGGGTGCTGTTCACAGCTGTGGTGGCTCTTCTGGCTGGTGGGGTGAGGTTTCACGTACAGCTGCTGTTCCTCAGCAGAGGATGTGGTGCTCAGGAGGTTGCTGTTGCTTGGATCTGCTGGGTTGATTTAAAGGCACAAAATACAACACAACAAGGCACCACGTACCAGGCACTATACACATATATATTCACGATATTAATAACCCCATATAAAGGTGACCACCCGAATTAAGAGAATTAGGGGATAAGGAAGAAGGAAGAGAAAAAGATAAAAGAGAAAAAAGAAAAGAAAAGTAGGGACCAAAAAAAAGGAGTGCAAAAATGAAATTGGGAAAAAGGAGGGAGGATAATAAAAGTGAGAAAAGAAAAGAAAAGAAAAGAAAAAAAGAAAAAAAAGAGCAAAAAGAGAGAATGAAGTGGAAGAGGGGAAGAGACTTTTTATATGAGGAGAATACTCCTATAGAACAGCCATTAATCCCAACAAATTCCAGAAACAGCTCCCTGGAGATGAATGCAAACTAGAAACAACCAATAATATAATGATGAGAATAGAATGGAGAACACTAATTCCAAAATAAAATAAAGAGAAAATAAAATGGCACTTTAAAAAATGGTAAAATGGTAGCAGTAATAATACTGGTTAAAAATAAGAAGGTAGTAATTAAAAGGGTAAAATCAGGTTATTTAAAAATAACAAAAAAAAGAAAAAAAGAAAAGAAAAAAAGAAGAAGAAAAAAAAAAAAAAAAATTGGTTTCTTAGTTAAAAGGTGAAAAAAGAAAGAAAAAAAATTGCAGTAGTGAAGGCCCTTCGGTTCTTCTATTCTTCAGTGTGGCTCGCCTTAGACCTGCCAGGTATTCAGGAGAGTGTTGAGTTTCCCTGGGATACACTGTTCCTCTGTGTTGTAAACCACAGTCCTTATTTTAAAGCAGGCTGCATTTGTTTCCCAGACTGCCTTATTTTGTGTTTAGCAAAGAGTCAGTTTGTGGGTCAGCCTCTGGGTGGCAGTGTTCTGGGGATGGCCTCTGAGGCTATAGGGCCTCTCTGTCCAGTGGAAGTTCACTGCCCAGAGCTGGCTGCGTAATAGTTAGTTACCGGCACTGTGTTGTTGCTGGGATTGAAAATCCCTCTATAGGCCAGACCCTGTTAACTCCCAGGGACTGATCAGGTTATTTTAATCCTTGATCTCATACAGGGTGGAATCTGGGTGTGGCTGTGCTCCTTGCCTGGGGGCTGGGGGGAGGAGTCTCACTCTCCGGAGAGAATGGCTGCCCCAGTCCTGGGCTCAGGGGTGTCTCAGCACTCAATTCGCTGCCACCTCTCCCGGCCCCCCTTCTCTCCTCAGTCTCTCCCCAGATTCCACTCCTCCCCACACTCTCCCTCTCTTCAGCACAGGTGATTGTCTGTATCCGAAATGTCCCATGAACAGGATTCAGTGAAAACAAACAAACAAACGCCGGCGGCGGAAACGGGGAAGGCTTGGTTTCTGTAAGCTTCTTCTCTTACCAGGACTGCATGGTCTAGTCAGCTCTTCAGGCTGCCCCCTTTAGGCTCAGTCCTCTGTGATCACAGAACCCAGCTCTCAATTCCCACGGTGGCGCCAGGAATCCCACGGTTCTCCTTTCCCCCGTCAGGGGCTGTGCCTGTCCCAAGGGACGCGGCTGTCTGCCACGCGGTCTCCCTCCGACTCTCTGGGCTCAGAGGTCTGGCAAACTTTCCTGCCCAAATCCCTGTTTTTTTTTACCTTTCCAGGGGAGTTCTGCTCTTCCCGGCTGCAAACCGTCTCACCAGCTGAGCAATTTCGCCAATTTGGGGTGGATGTTATTAGTTTCAGCTGCTCACTCCATTTGCTCTGGGACACGACCTGGGACGCATCTGCCTATATCGCCGCCATCTTCCGTCCTCCAACATGACTTTTGATGAATAATACATACACGCATTTCTCCTGGCATATGCCAATCAGTGGAGTTAATAGGTTCTAGGGCAGACATATGTTTAGCTTTAGTCGATATTTTCCATTTGTTTACTCCTTCCAGCAATTACGTAAGAATATTAGTTGCCCACAACTAAAATTTCAGCCTTCATTTTTCACCCTCCATTTTTCAGCCTTCATTTTTCACCCTTCTGATGAGTGTGTAGTGGTATCTCAATACAGCTTAAATTTGTATTTCCCTAATAACTAATGGTGTTGCTTACCTACCTTCTCTTATAAGCCATTTGAATACCCTCCTTTTGTGCATAGTGGTTTAACCTACTTTTTGAGGCTATGCTATTAGGTGCATTAACATTTAGAACTGTGTCTTTCTCATGAGCTGGATCTTTCATTATTTTGAAGTGCCTCTCTTTATCTCTAATAAGGCTCTTTTGCCTTAAAGTATACTTTATCAAAAAAACAAAAAAAACACATACACAAAAAACCCCCACAGCTATGCCAGCTTTCTTTGAGTGTTTGCATGTTTATCTTTTCCTATTCTTGTCGACATATATATCCTTATGTTTTAGATGTGGCGCCTGTTAATAGCAAACAATTGGATTTTGTTTATTATTTAGTTTAATGATCTTTACTTTTTTATTAGAACACTTAGTCCATTGATATTTAATGTAACTACTGATATGTTTGGGTTTATATCTACATCTTACTAAGTGTATTTTCTTTGTCTTGCCTATTCCAGATTTATTTTTCCCTTCTACATGAAGTTTTTTTTAGATCAACTTTTTATTTCCTCCTCTCCCTGTCTTAGCTTGAAATTTTACTGTTCTTTTAGTGGTTACCCGTAAGTTACAATGCGCGTCTTTAATATATCAGAATTTATGTTGGCACTTTCACTATTCCCAGAAAATGTAAACACCTTAGATATTTTAACTCTTATATATTGATTTATATGCCATTGTGTTATATACTTTAATTCTCTCCATATTAAAAAGCCCACCAGACATTACAGTTTCATAAGTTAGTATTTATATTTTTAAATATTTTTTAATTGATTTCAGAAGGGAGAAGGAGAGAGATAGAAACATCAATGATGAGAGAGAATCATTGATCAGCTTCTCCTGCACACCCCACACTGGGGACTAATCCTGCAACCAGGGCATGTGCTCTGACCAGGAATCAAACCGTGATTTCTTAGTTTGTCAGTTAATGTGACATTCAACTACTTAGCTATGCCAGCAGAGCCATATTTACCTTTTTTTGTTGTTCTTAATTTCTTCCTACTTTTCTGATTGTTCTTCCTTTCTCTCTCTGAAAAAACTACCTTTATAAATTGTTTCCTTTATTGTAACCTAGTAATGAAATCTCACAGCTTTTGTTTTTCTGATTTTTTTTTTTTATTTCTCCACCATTTTTGCAAATTACTGCTGGGTATGGAATTCTAGGTTAGTAGATTTCTTTCAGCACTTTAAACTTTTCATTCCATTGTCTTAAATTGTTTTTGTTGAGAAGTTAGCTGTCTAGTCATTGTTCATTTGAAAGTGCCCTTTTCCCTCCCCTGGCTACTTTAAAGACATTGTCTTTGTTTTTCAGAACGTTTACTATGATGTACATCAGTGTGTAATCTCTTTATTCGTCTGTTAGGATGCATAGAGATTTTTCAATCTGTGACTTGATAGCTCATCAATTGTAGAAAATCCTCTGCTATTAAATCTTCAAAATTGCTTATACCCTAATTTGTCTATGAGTCTGCTTATTATTTTCCTAATTATAGTAACAAAAATAGAAACCAATTAAAAACCCAAATATCAGTGTTATGCTAAAATTATGCTAGCCTTCTGAAGATAATAAATATTATGCAGGCAAAAAATTATCATTAGTTCAGGACAGCCCTAGCATTAGTTAAGAGCAGACACTAGTTAAGGATAAGTAGATACTCACTTACATAGAAACATACTCATGATATATTTTTATGTTACAGAAAGGTTAAATGGCATGCAGACAGATAACCCCACTTGTGTTATGCATTCACATTTGTAAGGAGAAAAGTGAAGAGTCAGATCAGGGTCACATTATGATTTTGTTGGGCCTGAGGCCATTTTGCCTTTGTGGGCTTCTTTTGCCCCCCAAAATATTAAAACTTATATTTTATAACTATATTGGTACAAAGACAAATATATTAATGCTATATATTAAAACATTTTCTGTGTCCAAAAAGTTATTTTCCTTTCCTTCTGATTTTGTTATTTTTATTGAAGTATACTTGATTTATAATATCATATTAGTTTCAGTTATATGACATAGTGATTTGATATTTATATATATTAAATCACCACAATAAGTCTAGTTACCTCTGTCAACATATAAAGTATTAATGACTGTAATTAGAACATTCTCAGGGTCCCTAAAGTCTTGTGGGCAACGGACTCCCCTGTACTTAGTGGAAAAGTCAGCCCTGTCATGAAAACCTGTAATTGCAACTATGTTCTTTTAACAGGGTTTCCAGTGCACGTGTCTGTGAGTGCAAAGCAGAGGGCAAGAAGATGACCATTTAGCTCTTCATCCTATGGTGAAAAACAAATTCTCTCTCCACCATCCAGAATGCCTGATGCTGCTGGAAGATAGAGTTAAACTTGCATTTTGCCTCTAGGACAGTGGTTCTCAACCTCCCTAATGCCTCGACCCTTTAATACAGTTCTTCATGTTGTGGTGACCCCTAACCATAAAATTATTTTCGTTGCTACTTCATAACTAATTTTGCTAATGTTATGAATCATAATGTAAATATCTGATATGCAGGATGTATTTTCATTGTTACAAAATGAACATAATTAAAGCATAGTGATTAATCACAAAAACAATATGTAATTATATATGTGTTTTCCGATGGTCTTAGGCAACCCCTGTGAAAGGGTCATTCGACCCCCAAAGGGGTCGCGACCCACAGGTTGAGAACCGCTGCTCTAGGACATTCAGGCCAGACTTTTCCTGGCTGAACCATACCCAAATCCTGTGGCCCTGATGCTGGCTAAGAAATAACATCCAACAGCATTTGTCAGAATTTGAGTGTATATATTAAATTTCCTATATAATAAAAGGCTAATATGCAAATAGACCAAACAGTGGAACAACCGAAACAACCGAACAGCCAGTTGCTATGACATGTTTGATGCTTCTATGACTCTGGTTCCATTTTGGTTCCTCAGTTTATGTTGTTTATTATATTCCACAAATGAGTGGGATCATGTGATGTTTATCTTTCTCCGACTGGCTTATTTCGCTTAGCATAATGCTCTCCAGTTCTATCCATGCTGTTGCAAATGGTAAGAATTCCTTCTTTTTTACAGCAGCATAGTATTCTATTGTGTAGATGTACCACAGTTTTTTTAATTCACTCATCTGCTGATGGGCACTTAGGCTGTTTCCAAATCTTAGCTATTGTAAATTGTGCTGCTATGAATATAGGGGTGCATATATCCTTTCTGATAGGTGTTTCTGGTTTCTTGGGATATGTTCCTAGAAGTGGGATCACTGGGTCAAATGGGAGTTCTGTGCTGGGCTGCATATCTGGCGCTTTGGCCAGACGGGTCGTGCTGTGCTGTCTGTTCCTAAAACACATAGATAGGAAGGTACTGACATCCAGCCAGGCCTTGAGATATGTTCTCATGGCCCCTTCCCAGCATGCTGTACTCTCTGTTCCTAGAACACATAGATAGGAAGGTAGTCACTGTAATGATGCTGTACTGTGTCGGGAACTAAGGTTTTGTAACTTTGTAGTTTTTGCAAATAAAAACGCTGTAACTCCTGTAGTCTGCACTGCAGTTCAGCCTCTGCTTCGGCAGGATGCTGTAAATGTAGTAGCTGGCCATGGAAGTCGGTGCTGCGGTTCAGCCTTTGCTTCAGCAGGGTGCTGTAACTGTAGTCAGCTGGCCAGCTTAATAAAGGCTCTTAAATTTAAATTCTGAGTCGGTGGTCTATCTCGCTGAGTGAACCCATAACAGTTCCATTTTTAATTTTTTGAGGAAAATCCATACTGTTTTCTACAGTGGCTGCATCAGTCAGCATTCCCACCAGCAGTGCATGAGGGTTTCTTTTTCTCCACATCCTCACCAGCACTTGTCATTTGTTGATTTGTTGATGATAGCCATTCTGACAGGTGTGCAATGGTATCTCATAGTTGTTTTGATTTGCATCTCTCAGATGATTAGTGACTTTGAGCATGTTTTCATATGTCCTTTGGCCTTCTGTATGTCCTCTTTTGAAAAGTGTCTATTTAGGTCCTTTGCCCATTTTTTTATTGGATTTTTTATCTTCCTTGTGTTAAGTTGTATGAGTTCCCTATAAATGTTGGAGATTAAACCCTTATCAGAGATAGCATTAGCAAATATGTTCTCCCATGCATTGGGCTTTCTTTTTATTTTGTTGATGGTTTCTTTTGCTGTAATGAAGCTTTTTATTTTGATGAATTCCCATTTGTTTATTTTCTCCTTAGTTTCCATTGCCCTAGGAACTGTGTCGGTAAATATATTGCTGCGACGTATGTCTGCAATTTTGCTGCCTATGGATTCTTCTTAGATTTTTATGGTTTCCCGTCTTACATTTAAGTCCTTTAACCATTTTGAGTTTATTTTTGTGTATGATGTAAGTTGGTGGTCTAGTTTAGTTTTTTTGCATATATCTGTCCAATTTTCCCAACACCATTTATTGAAGAGACTGTCTTGACTCCATTGTATGTTCTTGCCTCCTTTGTCAAATATTAATTGAGTATAATGGCTTGGGCCAATTTCTGGGTTCTCTGTTCTGTTCCATTGGTCTATATGTCTGTTCTTATGTCAGTATCAGGCAGTTTTGAGAACAGTGGCTTTGCAGTATTGCTTTATATCTGGTACTATGATCCCTCCAACTTTGTTCTTCTTTCTCAATATTGCTGCAGCTATTCAGAGTCTTTTTTTGTTCCAGATGAATTTTTGGAGCGTTTGTTCTAGGTTTTGAAGTATGCCATTGGTATTTTAATGAGGATTGCATTGAATCTATAGATTGCTTTGGGTAGTATGGACATTTTAAAGATGTGGATTCTACCAATCCATGAACAAGGTATATTCTTTCATTTGTTTATATAGACAGCATATCTCTTTTTTCAGTGTCCTGTAATTTTCTGAATACAGGTCCTTTACCTCCTTGGTTAAATTTATTCCTAGGTATCTTAAAATTTTTTTTGCAATGGTAATGAGATTATTTTTAGTTTCTCTTTTTGTGAGTTCATTATTGGTGTATAAAAAAAGCCATAGATTTCTGGGTAGTAATTTTGTATTCTGCTACATTGCCAGATTCATTTATTAATTCTAGTAGTTTTTTGGTGGAGTCTTTAGGGTTTTCTATGTACAATATCATGTCATCTGTGAAGTTTTACTTCTTCTTTTCCAATTTGAATGCCTTTTATTTCTTCTTCTTGTCTGATCATTATGGCTAGCACTTCCAGTGTTATATTGAACAGGAGTGATGTAAGTGGGCATCCCTGTCTTGTTCCCATTCTTAGGGGAAGTGGTTTTAGTTTTTGACCATTATGATGTTGGCTGTAGGTTTGTCTAATAAGGCTTTTATTATGTTGAGGTATGATCCCTCAATTCACACTTTGCTGAGAGTTTTTATCAGGAAAGTGTGTTGGATTTCATCAAATGCCTTTTCTGCATTAATTGATATAATTATGTGATTTTTGTCTCTCAGTTTGTTTATGTGATGTATCACGTTTATTGATTTGCAGATATCGTACCAGCCTTGCATTCCTGGGATAAATCCCACTTAGTCATGGTGTATGATCTTTCTAAGGTAGTGGTGAATTCAATTTGCTAGAATTTTGTTGAGGATTTTAGCATCTATGTTCATCAGGGATATTGGCCTATAATTCTCTTTCTTTGTGGTGTCTTTATCTGGTTTTGGGATTAGGGTGATGCTGGCTTCATAGAAAGAGCTTAGAAGTGTGCCTTTCTCTTGAATTTTATGGACTAGTCTGAGAAGGATAGGTTCTATTTCTTCTTTGAATGTTAGGTAAAACTCCCCTGTGAAGTCATCTGGCCCCAGGCTTTTGTTTGCTGGAAGTTTTTTGATGACTGCTTCAATTTCCCCCTTAGTTATCAGCCTATTTATACTTTTTTATTTTTCCTGGTTGAGTTTTGGAAGTTCGTATTTTTCTAGGAATATGTCCAGTTCCTCTAGGTTGTTTAGTTTGTTGTTTAGTTTGTTAGCTGACTCCTAGCTAAATACAAATTAAGGCAGTCTGGGACACAAATACGGCCTGCTTTAAAATCAGGACTGTGGTTTACAACACGGAGGAACAGTGTACCGCAGGGAAATTGAAGATCCTCCTGAATACCTGGCAAGACCAAGGCGAGCCAGACTGAAGAGTAGAAGAACCGAAGGACCTTCACTACTGCAATTTTTTTTTCTTTTTCACCTTTCAACTAAGAAACCAATTTTTTTCTTCTTTTTCTGCTTTTTCCATCACCTGATTTTACCCTTTTAATTACTACATTTTTTTTAAACCAGTATTATTACTACTACCATTTTACCATTTTTTAAAGTGCCATTTTATTTCCTCTTTATTTTATTTTGGTATTAGTGTTCTCCATTCTATTTTCATCGTTCCTTTAGCATCAATTTTCCCTACCTCAATTTTACCTCTTCCTCATTTTCCCCTTTCCTAGTCCTGTTTCTCTTACCCTATTCCTGCTTTAGATGTTCCTGATTCCTTCTTTTTTCCCCCTGTCAAAATTTCACCCGACTTATATATCCTATTTCCAATCCACTGCTCTAAATCCTTATACACCTATCCCTTATCTTTCTTCACTATCCAAATTTTTTTTCTCTTTTTTTATCTTTCTATTGTTTTGTTGCTGTTTTCTTGATTGTTGAGTATAGTGTTTTTTTTGTTTGTTTGTGTGTGTGTGTGTGTGTGTGTGTGTGTGTTTTATTTTTGTTGTTTTCTTTTAGGATTGGTTGTGAGGTTGTTTTTCTTTTTCTTTTTCTTTTTTTTCTGCTTGTTTTCCTAATCCCCCCCCCCACCCCTCCAGTTATTTTTGTGCTTCTGTTTTCCCTTGCCTCTCTTGATATTATTGGTTATTTGTAGTTTGCATTCATCTCCAGGGATCTGTTGCTGGAATTTGTTGGGATTAGTGGCAGTTCTATCGGAGTTTTCTCCTCATACAAATAGTCTCTTCCCCTCTTCTACTTCATTCTCTCTTTTCACTCATTTTTTTTCTTTTTTCCCCCCCTATTATTCCCAATTTCATTCTTGCACTCCTTTTTTTCTCTTTCTTTTCTTTTTTCTCTTTTATCTTGTTCTCTTCTTTCTTCCTTATCACATAATCCTCTTAATTCGTGTGGTCACCTTTATTTGGGGTTATTAATATCGTGAATATACTTGTGTTCAGTGACAATGAAAACACAACAATCCAAAACCTATGGGATACAATGAAAGCAGTCCTGAGAGGGAAGTTTATAGCTCTACAGGCCTATCTCAAAAAACAAGAAAAAATAGTAGTAAATCATCTAACTCTACAACTCGAATAATTAGAAAGAGAGCAACAAGAAAACCCCAGAGTGAGAAGAAGGAAGGCGATAATAAAGATTAGAGCAGAAATAAATGACATAGAGACCAAAAAAACAATACAGAAAATCAATGAAACAAAGAGCTGGTTCTTTGAAAGGATAAACAAGATTG